AAAACAGTATACTGTTGATTTGAATGTGCAGTTTTCTGCTTATAATATAATTTAGAATTCAGTTTTCCGCCCCGTAATCATTTTTATACGTAAAATCATTTCATATATATACATTTCAAAATCAGTTGATTTTTAACAATATCGTCAAAATACAAAGTCAAATTTTCTAGGGATATTTCCAACTATCCGTCAATTTTTATCACTCCATTATTTATAATTTTGCCTCTGTAGTGTTAGGCAAATCTATCTCTTTTTGTTTTTGTTAATTAAATTTCTAGCGAATTTGTAAAAATGTTTTCTAGACTATCTATTATAAATTAGCGTATATTTTTATAATGATAAAAGTATACATTTCTCGTTTTGTAGTTGCCGCCGCATCACTATCATCGTCGTTGCTATATCGTACATGTAATCGTTACATTTTCTTTTACGTAAAACAAGTAGACATTTTTTTCCCAAATTTTTAATTTCATTATCGTGCTTAACGTCGTTTACATTTTCCACGATTGCAGTTATGTGCAATCTTTTACTTCTAATTTAAATTTGCTGTTTTCTTTTGATTGTTTCTTCTTTTGTTACCGACAAAACCTATATAAGTGTCATTAACGGTCCGTTGGACCCATACAAAGTTATAACCGTTATGTTCAACCTTTTTCTAGGCTGTTCTACAATATTTTGAATATTGACATTTCATTCAATCGTTTTTCTTGATATTTCATACTCACTTACTTTGACAATTTATGACGTGGATCATGTTATAATTGCAATTGGTTGTCTAGAAGTCAAAGACTCAAAGTCCAATAAAATGGACAATATTTGATTTTTATGAGAAACAACCGATGATATATAGAAATATAATATGGGCATCGATATCGTGACGTATTATTGAGTTTCTGATACGAATTTTCACTTGCTTTATAGTAAAAGTTTGTGATTAATTGAAAGCCAACTCTCTACATAAATATTCAATGCCTATACGTACGTAAAAATATAACTTTACAAAACGGATTTCTTTTAGTAGCAAGTCGTTTTAAGAGAGAATCATGAGATGATACATATTGGGTTAAATTGTATAAACCAATAATCAGCTTAAGTTGAAGATCAATCAAATACCTATAGGTGGCCCAAAACGTATATTAGGTTAGGGCTGGATTTAAATCAGTATAGTTGTGGAGCTTCAACAACAATTATGCCACCAACGCATAATATAACTCGGTTTAAAAGATATTACCACTATCTATATGCATGAATGTACATGCGTGTATAGGTATGTGAAACTTTCATAGAATAAAATATACTCTTCTATATTTGTGCAAACTGTAGTTCGCTAATATATTTGACTACCACACTCTTCTAACAATTTAAAAAAATATAATCTTACTTTACGACTAAGAATTACAATGGCTAGGTACAATGCATTTGAAGATCTTCTATCAATTTAAAATACTTTTTTTTTAATTGGAAATAAAGAATTTTATTTTTCAAGCGTTTTCAGAAAACGTCACCTAATATTTTATGTAAGCAGAGCGGATCCTGAACTCTTTAGTGGTTCCAAACAGAAATTTTTTGTTTGGCTATTAATTCTTGATTTTTTTTTTTGGATAAAATGTGAATATTATTACCAAAAGGAAAAGTTATTACAAGAGCTATTTAGCCTAAAACTTCTTTGGTCCAAAAAAATGGAGCAACATAGCAGAGCACTCAATTAATTCTTGATTTATCAACAGAGAAAACTTTTTTTTATCTTTTGAAGTTTGAAGTTGAACCATCAAACTCCTTATCCATATTACAACAAAATTATCAGCAGAGCTAATGACTTTTCCCCCCAAAATAACAGCCTTTCAAATAAATAATTTTATGAGTGACCACAAACCCAAGCTGGGCTCGCTGGTAACCATGACCAGCTCTGTATGTATAAGATATGCATAAATCAATAACATGTAGATATTAAAACTATATAGTAAAATGAAATGATATAGTAGGATGCAACGTCGTGGGAACTTACCAATCCGTTTATCTGTATACAAACACCATGACTAATCTAATCTGGTTCAGGTATGAACAATCAGACCAATCCGGTTACAGCTGGTTATATCGGTACAGACTCTAAGCAAGAGGAAGGGCTTTCATTTTTAAATGAGATTTTTGTTTGAACTTCAAGAATGATAGTCGTACTTTAAAAAGAAAAATAAGAAGGAAAGTCGTTGTATAATGTTGTGCAAGTTATTGAATTGGGCCTATCAAAGTGGTGATGTTGGAGGAATAAAAGTCGAATGGTTTTGCTGACAGCTAAACAATACTGTGTGTTTGTCTTAATGGGTCAGTTGAGATATTCTCTGTACTTGTAAATTTGTATGCATCGGACATGAAGAACTGGGCTCAATAGTCGCAACCCATTTGATCATGTGTCTCACTTTAGTCTCATTATATTTATGAAGATCTTTGCCTCTTTGGGCCCTAGCCCTTCCTAGGTTGGCGAGGAATTAATTTGTAGATTT